TTGTTGAATGTAATGGTTGTCTGTTTGCCAGTCATTCTGTTCTTTGTTCCCTTTGGTTTTTGCCTTATTGTTTGTTCTAGTTTTTCCATGAAATACCAGCACAGAGATCCTTGCCTCTGCCTATTTTCTGCAGCTTCTCCACAACATTACAGTTTTTTAACTAGCGTGTCTCTTTGACTAGTGCATTTTTTGAGCCTATATTTAGTATAAGTAAAATACTTAAGTACTGTTAAAATCAGATACTCGAAGTCTTTTACTCAAGTTGTTTTGGAATTGGTGGCTTGTAACGTGTAGTGGAGTAATTTTCACTGTAAGGTATCTGTACTTTTACTCAAGTATGGTTTTTAGGTACTCTTTACACCTCTGCTGAAGGGCCTGACGTGACTAGGCCAGTCCCTGTCTTAATCAGCTGGATCTCACTAGTAGTCAGTGACCTACTATTCAGAGTTTGCTATTTCTAAAGCAGTTCAATTGTCAAATCTTAAATATTCCCATAAAGAAAAACAAACTAACATCAACTTACCGGTGACGTTGTCGTGTTTTCTTCAGTCTCCAGCCATAAATTAAAGAAAACAAGGCATAATCCATGATGGCAACAAAGATTAACAAACAAAAAATAATTAACGTTATATCAAACGATATCAGGGGCCCGTTCTTCGTACATCGCTTATTTTATCCGAGATGAAATGTCACATCCAAGATGATGTAAGACTCGAATACAATTATGAAGTAATAATTTTATGACGAATAAATCTCTCAGTGAGTAATATTGGCTGTGTCTATAGTATTAAAGACTATGATGCAGATAACATGATCTTGACCCTTAAGAAACTTTAATTAATGCTGTCACGAAACAAATCTGTTCAAATATACATAGCCCCTTTTAAACCAACCCATGAAGGCGCAATTATCTCAGATAACTCAATCCAGCCATACTAATCATCAACAACAGGTGCTTTAGAAGAACCGAATTAGCCGGATCCTGATTAGCGCGATGATATCATCTTGTATGTGACATTTCATCTCGGATAAAATAAGCGACGTACGAAGAATGGGCCCCGGGCCCCAGGCCCCAGTTCTGAGGCATTATACAGCGATGTTGATAAATACCAGTGGCATATTAATGCGCGATCAGGTAGTAGTCTGATTCAAAGTAGACGGATTCACGATCACGAGGGAGTCGAATGATTATGTCCCTTACCATTATTTTGATTTATCCCATTGAAATTAATCTTTTAAACATGTTCACCAAAAAGACTCTCCCTGCGTCCCAATGTTCATACTATCCATCCTAAATAGTAGGTGAGATTATAATAAGTGTGTCCCAAAGCATAGTATGTTGAAAAGAGTATGCCAAAAGTCCCCGGATGGTCTTCTTTTTTTTTATAATGAAATAAATAATTTACCAATGCAATCAATCAGTGGAATACCTCACTCCACCATCAAGGCAATGTTAACAGCCTGTTTTAAGCATCAATGTGTGTGCATGTGTGTTAAGGGTTATGAGACAGATATGAGAGCACTGAGAGCAACACTAGTCTTTCATGCTGTTGTTTTTATAATGCACTCAAAGGAGCTCTTAAAATTAACAGAGGGAAAGAGAAAGAATAGATCCGTGCTGCACATGTAGCGGCCTGCAAAAACACATTTTATAGCTCTTTAACAGATGTTGATGACATTACATACCAGTCTTTAAAAAAATAATAATAATAATTTATTTAATGCAATTAATTACATTTAATCACTTTTTTTATCCATGCCCAGCACTAAAAGATGCAGCATGTGGCGATTTGGGCACAGCGGTGGGTGTAAATCAAACACAAGGGCTCCGACACCTCTGTCAAGGGACTTAGGTGTTTGACATGCCAACTGTGGCCTCAGATGTAGAAGCATTTCAAAGGTACCATGTGATGGAACGCCACGTGCTAATGAGAGAACGCTGGTCTGGGACTTGTCACCAGATAATCCACCCACTTTCAAGCCTGAAATAGTTTAAAGCGGAGAGAGAGAGAAAATGGAACAGAGCATTACAGTGCTAAACAGCAGTACAGTTTTGACACACTTCTCTTATCTCGTGCCCAGGCTAACCGAGACCCCCAGGCTACTGACAGCGGAGAAAGAAAGAGAGATGCTGAACATCAGCAGAGACTGACATGCTTCTCTTATCTTTCGCCTAGGCAACTGAGAGAGAGACGGCATCAGTCGTGACCCTTTACACAATGCCACAGACGACTAAAAGCTAAACGCCGTCACCATCCAGATCTCTGAAGAAGTTGTAAAGACCCCAATTTAAATATATTATTTATATATAATAGCGAAGTCTGTAAAAGTTTAATAGTGATGTTTTAACATTAAAAACCGAATAGCGCTGCCAAGAACTGCACAGATTCGCAGCTGTACAGGTTATATTTACACTCTAACAAGAACTGCAGGTTATATTTATACTTGAACATTAACTGCAGGCAAGGATCCAAATATGTGTGTGTATTTCCACATGGTAAAGCCATTCGCTCTTCATGCCTGCTCAAATGTGTTTATTGATTGAGAATGAAAACACCCTCTAGTCCATTTATGTAACATTATACAGGGTAAATTTAACATGGTAGATTATCCCGCTATCCTATGTAGACCACACTGTTTAGCCCACACTAGAGACCAATATGTGAATTTAATAAAGCTTGTTCAAATTTGTTGTCTGTCTAATCAGGGTTCGTTTAGTCTCTGTGCAAAGCCAAGCTGGACTAGACTGCGGGCGGTCCGTGAGGCTGAGGCCATAGGGTTCAGTCTTGGTTACCATTCACTGGACAAAACATCACTCATGAAATCATTCATTTAACACGACGCAAAAGGCTGCGCTCAGATTCACAGAGCAAACAGAAAGACTCCGAATTTTCCATCTGACAGAAATATCTTTATATGCTAGGGTAAATAATTCATATGACTTCGTGCTTTATTCTGTTATCATCTTGGTAATTAATATTTTAGGAATTTTCTGCTTTTTATAATCCAAGATTTGGTCAAAATGGGTAAACTTGGCAGCATGATCAAATAATAAGTCAAGAAAGAGTCATTAAAAATCACAGCTGAGATTCATTCCAGATGATTCTGCAGTTATGTGCTGCAGGTATGTTGTAGGCTGCGTTTGAAATGGCATACTTCCCTACTATACAGGTGAAAAACAGCATGTGAAGAGTATGTCCAAAGTCATTCTTAAAACAGTAGCCGAAAAGTTATATACTTCCGATGAGATTCTGAAGTGCACATATAATGGACACTTTAATATCCCATGAGGCCATGGAAGAGGATTTGTGAATAGCAGTGAAGCAATGCATCTGATGCTTGTAGGTCACATGACAATGTCAAAATGATGTAGTGCGTCCGGATTAAGCTCATACTACACACATTCATATATAGAATGTACTTTTTTTAACGGTCGCAAAGTAATTACTTATTCAAAAGAAGTACCTTCATAGGGAGTATGCAATTTCAGATAAATTTGTAATTTTGTATGTTGGCGTCTCCCTGGTTCCCTCACCAAAAAGCAATAGGATTTTTCCATTGGCTTTTGGATTACTGCATCAAGATATTCCTCAAAAATTAACACAACTTTTATGAATTGTACTTCTTGAAGCCTAAATAAAACAATCAGAAGTAAAAAGCTAGTTGGACTCTAACTACATCGTAAAATTGTATGAGTTTTCTTGCTCAGCACGAACAAGAACGACACAGACTCTGTAGTCTAGTTTAGTAAACCCAAAAAAGCTTAAAAAGTTGTTTATTATGCATTTTATGTTTAAGAATAAAACAAAATAACTGGAGCTTAGATCTTATTTAAGTCATTTAACCAAAAACCAATTCAAAAAAACTTGACTTTGAGACAATGGTACCAGAAGTTCAAAAATTTGAACTGGTTTCCAAGTTTTAGGATTAATTTACAGCACTCTATTAAAGACAACTATGCATCCAAATATGGATATTTCCCTACCATCATAGTATGCAAAGAAGCAGTACGCCAAAGTATGCCTGAATATGCAGTATTTGTGAAACAGTAGGCAAATAATACCCAGTTGTCTACTGAGATTCTTAATAGTGTTCTCTGGTGTATACTGCAAATTTGGAAGGGTATTCAAGTATTTTGTGCATACAGAAAATTTGCACACTTATTATACATACTAGGCTATATACTGCAGAAAAGTTACCAAAGAGATGATCATGTAGAAGAGAAGAGATCATAAGAAGAGATGATCATTTAGACTTCAGATCAGAAACAACCAAGGTTCATGAAGACAGCATGCAAATAGCCTAAAACCAAACCGAACAGATGTAAACACATATAGGAAGCAACTAACACTTTGGATGTGGAATTGATGTTTATGATCATGCTACACTGAACAAAAGGCTTTAGAGAGTATTCCCAAAGATCAGTCACTTTTAAGACGTTTATTCAGTAATCAGCCAAACTCAAAATAAAACAAATCCCAATCATGTGAATCAGTCAGTTTCTTTAGCGCCCTAATCTCAACCATATGCTCAAACTTTTGCCCTCTGCTCTCAGCTACCGGGCACCGTTAGACACAATGACGCATAAACGGAGAGGCGCCCGTGGCTCCTCGCTCCCACCGAAACGGATACGCTGGAGTTTTACACGGTGATTAATCACACAAACAGACACGCTATGCTGAACATGCCCCCTGATCACCTCCACAGCGGCCGCCGGGCCATAAGGAGGCGGCTCGGCCGACACAGAGGCCACTTTGTGCAGCGAACACAAGCGATTGTTGGTCGGGGCGACAGGGTCCAGTTGTGCACATGAAGGTGCACATTGTGCGGCTGTTTTGACAACCTCGTCGAGAGACGCTGAGGATTTCCTGTTCGCCAGACTTTACTGCCCCTAAACGATTATACAATCTGTCACAAAAGCCTTTCTCCTGGGGAAGAGTGGAGTGTGTGGACATCGCCCGCCATCTACTGCTGGATTAGAGGTAGTGCACGTGACTTGACTTCAAATTCATTTTGGAGTCGGACAATGCAAGTGTAGCCTACATATAGGTTTTCAAACTTCGATTTCAAGTAAAAAAAAAAAAAAAAGGAATATATGGCATTAAAATTTGAACTGTTGGTTGAGACAAAAAATGAAAAGTAACTAAATTTTCAGCTTTCTACAGGTGCTACAGAGCACCAAAATAGCCAGACACAAAGTTTCCTCCCCCCACCCAGGCCATATCCCACCTGAACACATAACACACCTCAGTACTGTACATCTGTAAATAACTCATCAAACCTTCATCTGTAAGCAAGCATATACACACATTCACAATTCTGTCTATGGACATTTTCTTTTTCTCTATATTTTTATTTTATTGTTATTTATAACTTATTGTCTATTCTCTTTATTGTTAGTGGTTTTATTAACTTAATTATATGTACGTCTGCACTATGTACTTTCTGTACTGTAAGCTTCTAACACCAAATCGAATTCCTTGTGTGTGTAAACACTTGGCAATAAAGCTCTTTCTGATTCTGATTCTAATTCTGAACTTGCTGCAGTGATTAAGGCCAGACTTAACCATGGTTTTACTACAAATAAAACAAAACACATTACTATAGTTAAACCATGGTAACCACAAATTAACCATGGTATTTGTGGTAAAAC